AGTGATTTAAATATGCAAACAAAATACTTACTGAGTTTGATAACATAATACGTATATAAATTAACATACTTATGATTACATATATGAACTAACACAATTAAAAGACGACTATATTATGAATCCCTCACCGTCGAAACGTGTATGAAATGTTTGGTTCAAATAACACAATTCTAGCATCTCAATCATTGAGGTTTCAATCAAAACCAAAACTCTTATACTTCTCTCATCTTCTTCTGTCATACTTCCGGAAGGAAYATCTTTGAATTGACATYAACGAAATCTAGATCTCACGGCCATGGCTATATGATGATTAGYTTTAGACATCAAGGGGGACAGCTCCACCAAAGTTATAACCATACCTCTCCATTAAAGCTTTATTTATGATGATGATAYCAACAAAAGTGACATCGAACATCTCCAAATTTYCCAAATAACCCATAGAAAAAACCGCTAATCGCAATCAGAGAATTTTATGCACATAGCTTCGTTAATACACATCTTTCATCAAACAAACCCCAAGAAAACAAAACCAACAACAAAATCATCATCCGTATCAACGTTTTACACCAAATAAAACCAAACACTGTTTCTCATCAAAAACTCAAAGGAAGAACCAAGAAAGGCACATATTCAGAAATCTCYGTCGCCGTCAAGAGCCTAGGTCTATAATCRTTTTRCAGTTTTMTTTTCTGCTGAATTTTAARTATCGATTTATTTATTGGATTTCATTAGGGTTTTATAAGTGTTTTATATCAATATATATGGGCCTCAACAAATTTTTTTAACAAAATCCAATATAATAAAACGTGGATGGCATGAAAATGTAATTATATTGATTTATTAAAGGTAATATAGGCAAACCAAATCTTAAACTCATTCTGGAGCCGCCACGTAGAATTTTCGATTTCTCATTTATAAGTATAGATAGATCCGCTAATCGTGTTATAAGAAACTCTGAAAAATGTGTTATTCGAAACTGAATGTAAACATTTGGAAGAGACCCCATAACAATCTGAAATGCCGTTCTGGCCCAGGGAAACAATCAAATCAAGAAACAACTAATTTTCTGTTTGGTTTTGATTCCCGGTTTAGCTTCTAGTTCCGGTTCGAGATAGGTAAAAAATATAATTGAGCTAACCACACGGTCAGTTCTGAACCCAAACAAATCAAGAACAGATTGCATATGGCAGGATCGGTTCTATCTATGAAACGATTTTTATTTTTAACAAAAATATACAAAACAATTTGTTTTTTTCCTAGTTTAATTACAGTCTTTTAAAATTAAGGATCGGTTTTGGCTAACCTAACAATAAATGGGCGTATGAATGGATGATATTGATACTCACTCCTTTGTGGACGTGAACATCATTATCAATAATACTCTACTAGTTTCG